TAGGCCTCAATCGAAACTTTAGTAGCTATTGAATATAGAATGATATTTTAGGCTTCATAGTACTTTTCCAGAAATTAAACTTACAATGCTGTTTTGAGTAGTACTATTATCAAGACAATTCCTATTTTTCCTTGCAGCTATTTGTTGTAGTAGTAGTACACATAATTATAATATCAGCGTTTTATAATAAATAACAATTGTATTACTATTAATAATAATGTGAAAAACTTAAAATATGACTATTGTGGCTTACACCCCACTGCCTCCGGATAAAGTATCATCTTCCTCTGTATTTTTGCACGTAGTGTGCGACTTTAAGATATTGTGTGAACTTTCCAGCAATATATGCTATGTACATCAAACAAAATCGGAACAGCGTTTGTGATTCAGCTAGCGCGGAGGCACGTGACTCAGCAAGAACACGAAACACGAAAGAACACCGACCCACACTATGTAGACGACGAGATAGAAGAGCAACACGAAGCACGTTAGGCCATGGACGACGATAGAATTCTTAGCCGATGCAAACCACGAAGTTTTATGCGTAGCGTGAAAGGCGGAAGTGCACGCAGCTATGAAAAGGACAGATGGAGAGAACATGACAGGAACGTACGGGCCACGGAAGGGAACTAAATACATAGACACCCCAGCATGCTGAAAAGCACGGGCTACGGAAGAGTACGCACGTTCGAAGCCACGGTAGAACACGTACCGGTGAGAATGCACAGAAACAATTCTCCAGCAGCACCACGGGTAAACATGGAGCACAGTCAGCCGACCAAACCTGAGCCCACAGTAAGCCAGATACGGAAAATCAGAAATCAGTCTTGGGAGCACGATGCCTACGTAGAAACTGAGCTCACCGATCCACGGAGCGCGACACTACGATAGCTAACGATAACACAGACGACAGCCCATCCCCGACACCAGAGATAACACGACAGCATGGACGCTGAGTTATCCACTAAAGTATCGGAGAACACGCTGCCACACGAAATCACCGAGTCACGGAGCACCATACCAGTGTAGAACCTGAGCTTACCGAGCCACGGAGGACAGCAGTACATGGGAACACGATTTAACGGACGTCGGACCAGCCACAAAAAACACGAGGGGGGGGAGAGGGAGGGGGCACGTGTGGGGTGGCCATGATTGCCCACCGTGGAGCACGATGCCATTGTAGAACACGATAACACGGGCAACGCAGATGCACTACGCGAGCACAATACCATAGACAGCATTACCACACCGTGATTGCACGATAGCGTGATTCCGCGGTCGATGACACTTCATCAGGAGATCACGATGCACGGGCGACGGAACCACGACTGCATGGAGGCACCAAAGCACGGAATAGCACCCTTTGGTTAGAGCACCGGCGATGGAAGGCCAATGGTAACGAAATAGTATCTACCACGAAGCCAGTGCAACCCACGTAAACGTTTGAGAACGGAAAACAGTTAGCTTTAACGAAAAGACCGTACTAAAGAGCATGAACCCACAAGAGAGAGGACAGAACCGCTGAGCAGCGTGGGCCATGGGTGAGCAGGAACCTCGAAGCCGGGAAGAGCACGAAAGAGCATGGACCATTGAAGAAAACAACACCCAACCTGTAGTACGGGGTAACGGAAACGTTCCAACCACGATATTATACGGGGCCGAATGAGACTACGGAAGGCAAGTGGTTAAATACACGATGCCAAGATCTACGGGGTGAGCCACGCTCTCAAAACACGCGACACCAAGAAGCACTAAGGTTGCGGCCACCTCATCTCCAACAAACCATGCCACTCCGCCGCGTAGCGGCGGCGAACGGCTAGTCTTAAACATCTACTGCAGTGTGGTAAAGTGTGGTGTAGCGGGATCAGCAAAATCTGCGAGATTGCCAGATCCAACTTACCAACTGCGCCCAGACACCGACTAACGGAGGGGTCCCCCGATGATCCGTGTTCTGCTGAACTTTCCTCACCTTGTGTACCCGTCGGTAGGGCGGGATCTGCTCTCTCGGTAACTTCCGAAGAGTTCAAGTGGTGAAGCTTGAGTGTCTTGGCGAGACGTGGGGATGGGGTGGAGCAGCAGTGGAAAATCTTCACTCTGCGTCCGTGGATGGTTCCGTATCCTAAGCGAATATTCGAGCTTATGGATCCGGGGCCTAGATCGTGGATCTAGCCGTAGGGTTGCCTTGCGGGTGTGTTCCCTTGCCTTTGTGTTGTCCTTTAAGTCGTACTTGCCGCCTCCTGTGACGGGATCTTGAGAGTTGAGAACCTCTAGGGTGTAACCGACCAAGTAGTAAATTCGGTTAACCTGTCGGATCTGCACGAGTAAAGGAAAAGCTCACTAGGTTGTAGAATCTGGCCAATGTATTATCCAGTTATCACTACCAACACTAGATTCGCAATTCCCAACCTTCTCGGAGCTCGTACGGCCAATGTAGTTCCGGTTCTTGAGGGCAGGAAGGCACTTGCGTGATACTGTGCAAATTGAGGACTTTATTTATTGAGTTAGTCCCTAGGGACGAAGTATACACGAAACTTGTCCGGGCCAATGCTCATCTCCGCTACGAATGTTCTGCGAGGCCAAATCCAATCCCCGTCGAAACGCTATACGTAGTTGATCTCCACTTGATGATCCCGTTACGATTCCGTGGCCACTTGTTCTCTAGCTCGTGATCTTGATTACTCCATAGTGAGACCTGATGCTTGGCGGGCGAAGTAGACGCTGTCCTTGTCCAGGGCCAATGTTCACTCCTGTTACGGCGATCGCCCGAGGCCAAATCCAACCCCCGAGACGACTACAGGTCACTTGCCCTCCACAGTGCAAATTGAGGACTGTATTGATATTTAAGCCTATACCTGCCTGGGTTTCTACCTTCTATGTCTTTCATCTGCTAAATCCCTTACCAGGCTCGGCTGCATGTCCCTTCTTCCCTTGACCCATCATCCCAGCTGTGTTATCTTCAGATCCACCGGATATATGACGTAATCATCATGGTCACCCTATTATGGGTACACTCATCCGGATCCAGGTCGCTTGGATCCACCTCACTGTAATGGTACACTCGCCGTGGATCCGAGCTCTCCAATCATCCAACATCATCTCGCAACCGTCTGTGATCTCCGTTGTCCCACGAAAGTTCGAGATCCACTGTATCCCTCATCCCTATACCCTGGATCCAGGTCCCTCCAGGCGGGATCCTCCCTCCTTGGATACGAACTCAGAAGTATGGGATCCGGGGTACCTCGCGGTGGATCTTGACTCTTCATTAGCCGTGGCTACTAGATCCACCGTCAGAGGGCACCGACCATCCTTCCTTCATAGGATCCACACTCGATCCACTCTTGTATAGTATATCCCATATCCATCTTAGTGAATCCAGGTAAGGGTGGATCCGAGGTAAGTCTTGGTGGATCTTGCCTTCTCGTACATCGCTCATATCAGATCCATCGTCATTCCATACGGGGTGCTGCTCGCCATGGCTAATCCACCACAGGCAACTTGCACCCGTGCCAAACAACCCAAATCCTCTATAATCACTTGAAATTGTCACTGATTCGGGATAGTGACCCCGCGTCAGGACCATTCTCTTATTTCTGAGAAAGCACTTC